TGCGTCGCCTGTCGCGGACGCGTGCACGATGATCTGCTCGCAACCTCCTATCGTTGCCAGCATGGCCGCATAGCGCACAGTCCTATTGCGCCGGCGTCTAGCGCGCCGTTTTCGCTTGGGGATGTTCCGCCTGTAAATCCTGCGACTGAGAGATTCTTCGTCCTCGACTTCCTTTGTTGCCCTCGACATACAGAAGGCTTCAACGGATGACATCACATCTGCCAATTCCTTCGCATTGCGCATTGCATCTTCCTTCTCTTGAGCTAGGCGGCGTGCGTAAACATCTTGTAGCTCCTGAAAGCCATCGTGTGCCAACCGTTTCTCGCGCATGTATAGTCGCGCCTCCCTCAAAATTTCCCCGATTCCCATTCTGATTGCTGCTGGAACTTCTTTGTCCATTCGTCGAGCTTCTAAAAAGTTTACCTAGCAATTGCGTACGCATGAATACAACGCACAATGCTGGCGCACTGCAAGATGCATAGATGGCTAGCTGATCGTCGGCCATTGCGCGTATCCTACCCGGCATGTTGCAAACGTTGTCACTCTCTGCCCTGATTTCGTGAATCATCTCGCCTATTGGTAGATAGCATCTATTAATTTATCCATTGCTCGCCGTCTAAAATCGCACCAAGTGTCACCGAACGCGTTGAGTGCTGAAGAGCACCACGATGGCCGAGGCGATCACGTTTTTCATAGAGAGTGCCCATCTCATGAAAGAGTTGGTGCCACTGCTCATGTACCTTTCTGTATACTGTACAATTATTATTATTTATTATTATTATTGGGGATTTAGCGTCGGAGAAGCCGCATGCACAAGAGCACACGCGGCCGGTAGGTCTCGGACGGAGGAAGTTGAGGTAGGTAGGGGGCTGCCCCCCAGCAGGGGCCGAAGGCCCACGGGGGGAGGATCAGCTTGCCCAGCGCCACAATTGTGCCGTATTAAGGAGCCTGGTAAGCCCTTTAAAGCCGGAGTCGCGCGGCGTGATCGCGCGCTGGTCAGGAGCATCTGAAACGAGGAGGTGCCCTTGGACCAATCTCGATGTGCCCTTGGCCAAATCTGGCCAGGACTATCTGAATCGCGCGCTGGTCAGGAGCATCTAAAACGAGCAGGTGCTCTTTGGCCCAATCCATACCGCGTAGAAATCAGCCCTAAAGCCGGAGTTCTGAACCGGGGAGGTGCCATAGGCCCAATCTAGGCCGCATAAAAAGCAGCCCAAAAGCCGGAGGGAGTCGCGCGGCGTGATCGCGCGCTGGTCAGGAGCATCTGAACCGAGGAGGTGCCCTTGGCCCAATCTCGAGGTGCCCTTGGCCCAATCACGAGCGCACAAAAAAGCAGCTCAAAAGCCGGATCCGCGCGGCGTGAACGCGCGCTGGTAAGTAGCATCTGAACCGGGGAGGTGCCATAGGCCCAATCTAGACCGCATAAAAAGCGGCTCTAAAGCCGGAGTCGCGCGCGTGATCGCGCGCTGGTCAGGAGTATCTGAAACGAGGAGGTGCCCTTGGCCCAATCTAGACCGCATAGAAAGCTGCTTTAAAGCCGGAGTTCTGAACCGGGGAGGTGCCATAGGCCCAAGACCGTATAAAAAGCGCCTCTGAAGCCGTTGTTGCGCGGCCTGAACGGGCGCTGGTCAGGAGCATCTAAAAAGAGCAGGTGCCCTTGGCCCAATCTCGAGGTGCCGTTGGCCGCATAAAAAGCCGCTCAAAAGCCGGAGTCGCGCGGCGTGATCGCGCGCTGGTCAGGAGCATCTAAAACGAGGAGGCGGCATAGGCCCAATCCAGACCGCATAAAAAAAAGCTCTAAGGCCGGAGTCGCGCGGCGTAATCGCGCGCTGGTCAGGAGCATCTGAAACGAAAGGGTGCTCTTTGGCCCAATCCAGACCGCATAGAAAGCAGCTCTAAAGCCGGAGTTCTGAACCGGGGAGGTGCCACAGGCCCAATCTAGACCGCATAAAAGCAGCCCAAAAGCCGGAGGGAGTCGCGCGGCGTGATCGCCCGCTGGTCAGGAGCCGGAGGGAGTCGCGCGGCGTGATTACGCGCTGGTCAGGAGCATCTGAAACGAGGAGGTGCCCTTGGCCCAATCTCGAGGTGCCCTTGGCCCAATCTCGAGCGCACAAAAGCAGCTCAAAAGCCGGATTCGCGCGGCGTGAACACGCGCTGGTTAGTAGCTTCTGAACCGCGGAGGTGCCATAGGCCCAATCTAGACCGCATAAAATTCCAGACCGCATAGAAAGCAGCTTAAAGCCGGAGCTTTGAACCGGGGAGGTGCCATAAGCCCAACCTAGACCTCAAAAAAAAACAGCCCAAAAGCCGGAGGGAGTCGCGCGGCGTGATTGCGCGCTGGTCAGGAGCATCTGAAACGAGGAGGTGCCCTTGGCCCAATCTCGAGGTGCCCTTGGCCCAATCTCGAGCGCACAAAAGCAGCTCAAAAGCCGGATCCGCGCGGCGTGAACGCGCGCTGGTTAGTAGTATCTGAACCGGGGAGGTGCCATAGGCCCAATCTAGACCGCATAAAATTCCAGACCGCATAGAAAGCAGCTTTAAAGCCGAAGCTTTGAACCGGGGAGGTGCCATAAGCCCAACCTAGACCTCAAAAAAAGCAGCCCAAAAGCCGGAGGGAGTCGCGCGGCGTGATTGCGCGCTGGTCAGGAGCATCTGAAACGAGGAGGTGCCCTTGGCCCAATCTCGAGGTGCCCTTGGCCCAATCACGAGCGCACAAAAGCAGCTCAAAAGCCGGATTCGCGCGGCGTGAACACGCGCTGGTTAGTAGCATCTGAACCGCGGAGATGCCATGAATCGGGGAGGTGCCATAGGCCCAGTCTAGACCGTATGAAAAACGGCTCTAAAGCCAGAGTCGCGCGGCGTGATTGCGCGCTGGTCAGGAGCATCTGAAACGAGGAGGTGCCCTTGGCCAATCTCGAGGTGCCCTTGGCCCAATCTCGAGCGCACAAAAGCAGCTCAAAAGCCGGATCCGCGCGGCGTGAACGCGCGCTGGTTAGTAGTATCTGAACCGGGGAGGTGCCATAGGCCCAATCTAGACCGCATAAAATTCCAGACCGCATAGAAAGCAGCTTTAAAGCCGGAGCTTTGAACCGGGGAGGTGCCATAAGCCCAACCTAGACCTCAAAAAAAGCAGCCCAAAAGCCGGAGGGAGTCGCGCGGCGTGATTGCGCGCTGGTCAGGAGCATCTGAAACGAGGAGGTGCCCTTGGCCCAATCTCGAGGTGCCCTTGGCCCAATCTCGAGCGCACAAAAGCAGCTCAAAAGCCGGATTCGCGCGGCGTGAACACGCGCTGGTTAGTAGCATCTGAACCGCGGAGATGCCATGAATCGGGGAGGTGCCATAGGCCCAGTCTAGACCGTATGAAAAACGGCTCTAAAGCCAGAGTCGCGCGGCGTGATTGCGCGCTGGTCAGGAGCATCTGAAACGAGGAGGTGCCCTTGGCCAATCTCGAGGTGCCCTTGGCCCAATCTCGAGCGCACAAAAGCAGCTCAAAAGCCGGATCCGCGCGGCGTGAACGCGCGCTGGTTAGTAGTATCTGAACCGGGGAGGTGCCATAGGCCCAATCTAGACCGCATAAAATTCCAGACCGCATAGAAAGCAGCTTTAAAGCCGGAGCTTTGAACCGGGGAGGTGCCATAAGCCCAACCTAGACCTCAAAAAAAGCAGCCCAAAAGCCGGAGGGAGTCGCGCGGCGTGATTGCGCGCTGGTCAGGAGCATCTGAAACGAGGAGGTGCCCTTGGCCCAATCTCGAGGTGCCCTTGGCCCAATCTCGAGCGCACAAAAGCAGCTCAAAAGCCGGATTCGCGCGGCGTGAACACGCGCTGGTTAGTAGCATCTGAACCGCGGAGATGCCATGAATCGGGGAGGTGCCATAGGCCCAGTCTAGACCGTATGAAAAACGGCTCTAAAGCCAGAGTCGCGCGGCGTGATTGCGCGCTGGTCAGGAGCATCTGAAACGAGGAGGTGCCCTTGGCCAATCTCGAGGTGCCCTTGGCCCAATCT